TAAGGTAGAGTACGGACGGATATGAATGAACGAAATTACTACTGATATTATGGTATTGTACGAGCACTCAGTGAAGTTGCAAGTCAGTGAAACTTGGACGGATTGAAAATGTTTGCTGTGAGTTACTCATGAACCGTAAGAAAAAGGTTTCGGATGGATGCAATGCAATTGATTCGAGTTACTTGCCGGTATTTGTGTGAACACACATCTGTGGATGGTATTGTATGAATAATGGTACAAGTGAATGTTAAAACGAGGACGAAAGTGTTTCGAACGCTCGACTGATTGCAGCGGCAGCAGCAGCAGCAGCAGCAGCAGTCGTCTCTTAAGTGAACTTGAAGACAACATAAAGTTGATTTATTGCGATAAGTGAATTTCGCAACAATTTAAAGTGCAAAACTTCGTTTCATTCAAGTGAACGACGAAACGAACAAACGAACGAACAAAAGTAGAGAAAACGTTTCGATTGAACGCTGAAATATTTTAGGATTAGTGCATTTATAAGAAATATGAACCGGGATTAACACAACGACAATACATCACTATCCATCATTGCAGCATTGAATTTGAGCGCAACGATCGGTTGGTTTGATTGAACGAAACGAAAAGTTTTATCGTAACGAAAAGTAACACTTTTATGCGTCGTCGTTCGAATTCAATACAACACCACATTAAATATTGTGTGCTCGATTGATATTTTTGTTGATGTTCTTGAGCGCATTACACCGAGCATGATAGCGCGTTTAATTATTATTATTTATTGCTGCGAATTCCATCATTTGTTGTTACAACCAGCAGCCAGTGGCACTCCTCGATTTGCATCAGGGTTTGCTAAATTTTATGTTAGGTGGTGGTGTTTTCATTGTGCCTTCTCGGATGGATGGCGTCTAATTGTCTAGTGTAAACATCGAACTCATTCTCACATACACAAACGATCACAGTTGTGCGTTGTTCCTTTGCCACTGGATTTTGTGCTTTGTTCGAGAACACCCATTTGTAATTGGATAAAACTGTTATGAAACAGAGAAAAATGAGGAACACTTAAACGAAAAATTCATAGAGACTTTGTGATTAATCAATAGGAATTTCTGAAAACTGAATAATCGGTTCGAAATCAACGAAAGTTTCATTATTCAAGCGCACTTATGAAGTTTCATTAGTCAAGTCCACTTAGATTGTCCATACAATAAAAGTGAAAAGCGAACAGATCAAGCTCATGTCATTGATATCTTGTTGTTTGCATCAGGCATTTGCTTACAATTTTTGCGCAAGATTTTGCAACATTTGATTTCTTCGAATCACTTCGCTGCATTCCAGAGATGTTGTTCAAAGTGGCAATATTCAGTTCGAATTTTTTTGAAAATTCAAACTTTACATATCACTCTATTGCAGTGATTTTCGTAAGATTTAATGTAAACCAATCCAACTGGTTAATAGATTTGAAACTGATTCCAATTACTGCTGAATTTGGGAGCAAATTCCGAAAGGGCTTTTAGAACAGTTTGAGTCCTATTTAAAAATAATTCTAAATATTTGCTTTGCTATTGTTTTGCTTTGAAATCAGCGAGTGAGGTCAAAATTGCTGATGAATTTTCGGAGTGCTGAAGGCATCATTCATTCATTCATTTCGCCGAATTCATATGAAATTAAAGAATTCGTTGAGATGATGTTGAAAAGCGCGTACTTATTGTTTACGGATTGGTCAAAGTTGACGGTGCAAAACAAGTACAAACTCATGATTTGAACGAATCACTGAATCCACCTGTTAGCAATCTCGAACTCTTGCTGTCATGCTCAAATCAAGTTATTATCATAATTTATAATTGCAAAATTGCTCACAATCAACAAAAATTCTTGATGATATCGAATACTTGATATTTGAAACGTAGAAGAAACAGTTCAAATGGATGCTTCACTTCTCTCATTACACAAATTTCATGACAACCTTTGACATCTTTGATCAAATTTCATTACCTGATTAAGTGAATAACAGAAAATTATTCGTTCACATGATTTCGATAAGTTCGAAAGTTGCACTTTAGCAATAAAAATAACTTTGATTTGGTTGTTTATGATAGATATGATTTGAACGTTGCTATAATTATCATTACCATCAGCATTATCATTCCTTGATCGGTTTCTTAATGCTGAGAATGGCAAACTAACAAGATGATTGTTGAATTGCATTCGACAATATCAACAAAATAATTCGTTGAAAAGTGATTAGGGAACAGTAATGTGTAATCATACGCGAATAACAGTACGATCAGCAGTAATGACAACAATTATTTTGCACTAATATCAGCAGTGCTCATTTTCAATGGGAATTGACAAGGCAAATGCTGAAATGTTTAACAACGCAACGAATTACAACTCAGCAAGATTCTTCGAGTTGTTCCAAGAATGAATTATGTATGTCAGCAGGCATATGTTCCTTCGTGCAATTAGCCACTTAGACAAAAAAATTTTGCGGCAAAGCTGATCTCCGAATAAAAGATTATTGATGAATGTTGCTTGAAAACATAACTTATAGTTATCTATTCTTAAACTCAGAGCGAAACCTTTCGCTTAAGCCGTCTGATAAATTAGGTATAGTTTGCGGCATAACTTCGGTAGTAAAACACATAATTTTATTCGGGATTATCATTAACTCAAAAATAGATAATTTGCATAAATCGGTGGTTGTCACGTTCGGGTGCTCCATTACCCTTTGACGATCTAGCAGGCCGCTGTTACCCTGCTGATACAAGAACTTACTATTTCTACGTATAACGTCAGGAACAAACGTTTGTTCCTGAAGTTCTTAGTGTCCATGAGATCGATTATGATTGCATGAAAAGCTGTTGTCTATGACACGCTCACTTCAAACTGATTCAAATGGATTCTCATTCTTTTCAGACGTGTTGTATTCACTCTCATAGCTATTACATGCGAATATCGTTCTCTTCATGACTTTTTCTCATTCACTTCGTCTCATTTCACTTCACAATTCGAATCATTTTCTTATTCTGTAGCATTTACTATTTACTGGATACGTTGATGAGTGTTGGTAGCTGCAATCAGCAATATAGCAGTTGAATTGAATTGCTCAACAACGTTCAACAATCAAATGATCAATTATAGAGTGTATTTAATAGAATGAGAATTTGACTTTGATTGTTGGGTGAAATGAATGAGAAATTAGCAGAAGAGAACATTTTTGGTGATAAAAGTAATGAGAGCGATTGCAACAGCAAGGAAAAGAATGAGAACCCTGTTGAAACGAATGAAAACCCTATTAGGCCCTGACGAGCTAATGATACTCAGAAATTAGGAGAATATTGCCATCAACTAACCGCATTTACATATCCGAATCATTA